GATCGGTAGGCGCCGCTCTACCACAAAGCTAAAGAGCTCTATACGACACGATCGCCAAATCATCTAGGGGACCAAAAAGACCACGCGAAGAAGGTACTGTCTCAGCGTACCCCTTTCTCCTGAGAAGGACTGAATTATCACCTCAGGTAGCAACCCTTCAGGTCACGACTGATAGCTCGTCAGGATGGTTCCAAAGCGCACACACTCGCCTGTAGTGAGAAGGTAGGTGCTGAAACTGAGCAGAATAAACCTCACGGCCTCTTTTTTCTCCCTAAACACTGACAGCCTAACCGATTCAAGCCATTTAGGGAGTAAACTGAGAGCAGTAGCTGCCGTGACTTAATTTCTGTCTCTATTGTCTATCAGACACACTGCTGTCCATTCACTCCCCGACATGTTTTCTAAACCGACTATGACCAACCCACATTGTACGAAGACAAAATAGCTTGGAAAAGCTGGAAAAGCGACACACGACAGGTCGACCGTTGTTTTCGACGATTTCCACCGTGTGCTTCACGTCAGAGTGAGAGCAGGGACGATGCATTATGCGTGAATTGGTCTATGGTGATAGTAGACTTTCCCAACATCTACCCTAGTGCCTCCTCCCTTACATGGGCCCTGTGTCAAACCAGACTTGCACAGTGCCTACCGCACTCTCTCCTCCCCCACCTGGACCCGGTGTCAAACAGAGTCAAGAAGACAGGAGACGGAGGAGAGCACAGGAGGGTTGTACGGCCGATCCCGCACCTTGATGCTCGACTCCACACCAGCTGGTCCACAAAACAAATGGTCAGGATTTAAACAAGCGGGACGGCAGCAGGGATCCCATATGCACGACGTACGTCGGCAACCGGGTCTGCCACCGCACCCCCAACATGTTGGCATTTGTGATGCTGCGCATTCCAATAACGCATGCCAGAATTCCATATGGCCTCCGCGTTGGTCCAGCGCGTATACCGCGTGGCTCGTTTTGGGGGCACATTCACCACCTAGACAACAGCACACAAGCTGACGCATATGTCGTCTTCAAGTAAGATTAACAAACTGTCATACGTTTTGGTAGATTTTAATACTTCAACTGACCCACTTGTGAGAACCTCGGGGGCCTGGATGGGATTCAAACCCACAACAGCAGGAACGCTCTACTCACCGGGGTAACGAGGCTCTGGTCGAGAACTTTCAAGATAAATTACACACTCAACCTACTACAATGCATGGAATCCGTCAAATCTGATTCAACACACTGTCCCTTAAGCAGGTTTTCTTATGCAGTCAATCTTGAATCCACTAGGCTCACATTTCAATAGGCGATTTTTGACAATTTTGCATAATTCAAGTGACCAATATATGAATAAACTCAAGGCTCCCTGCCGAGAAGTTGTAGCTCAGGCGGTTTGAACGTTGAAGCCTTGTCGTTGCTGTCATGTGTTCGAAGCCCACCGAGGCGGCCGGATATATCACAAATGGGTTAGTTGAAGCTTCTTCGTTCTCTGGGTCCCAAAACGGTATCGCACGTTGAGTTATTTGTGACATCTGTTTGGTAAGCTGTGACACGTAACTGTGTGACGCCCATAAATAGCGGGTGGCCACTGCGAGCGACCTTCTGGGAAAATAGAAACTTCGAGAGGGAGTGGGGGGTTGCTAGGTAGCCTAATGGCGTACAAAGCAGTATGTTTGTTGATGGATTGCGGGTCTGAGAACCATGACTCGAGCAGTATGTTCGCGAGGGGCAACCATGGTGACTGCCTTCAACGAAAGATGGCTGCGATTCCAGCTGACTCCAACGTATTGGGAAACAGTGATAAAGCAACAGTTCTGTCCTCAGGTCTGGTTTAACATCGATCTGGCAAATGGATCAACAAATTAAAGATCGCCTGCCGAGATGGGATAAGGACATGGTAAATACTGTCCGCTTGAAAGTAGGACTTTCCCTGCCCTCTAGCCTAATCATGGAACCTTAAACGAGTATGCCGGTTACGAAACATGTGGATGCTTGCCTTCGATAGCGGCAACTATGTACACAAAGCTATCCTTCCAGTCAGTCGTTCCACGAACCGCGGATTTCCAAACAACCAAAGTTCTGGTTGGACTTACAGAAGGCCGCTGCAGCTGGAAGGAACAGTTTTCTGAACAAATTCCACAACAACTGCACTTGCGTAGGGAACCAGATGATGATAGCAGTAGTCGCTGAAATTCAGTTGCCTTAACTTTCAACAATCGCGACCCTTTAGCAGGTATGAACAAAAAGTGTGCCTATTGAGAGCATAGCTCGATCTTTGTGGTCTTACTCTTACGGCAATCATCCCAACAGGGTAGAGGTGAGGGACTCAGTCTTTCATGGGGAAAGAAACTAGAAAACATCCCCCCGAACATCGGTTAGTGATCCAGGCTAGGCTTCTGGTATCCGATTTGAGTTCGAAATGCCCACAAAGTACGTAGTGAACGCTCTCCCGCCAGAGTGAATTCGTCCAGCTTGAAGTAACCGGCTGTCTGCGGACTCGATCCTTGCAATGAAGACGTTGACGCTGTCATAAACAAGGAGAAGTCGGCAAACCTGGAAAGAAGAACAACCGAAGTCTAGATATACAATCAACATCACGGACGACATTGTCAGGCAAGTGTCTATTCGCCGGTCAACTTACCATGACCAAACTTCTAGACAGCGGGAAATGCGATTCCTTACACCGACAAGAGCCGCACTGCAACAGTGACGCGCTATGAAGAATACAAACCAGCACATAGTCCCGGTTTTCTGGTGATTGCTCGCTCGGAATCAATGCTCTAGATTGTATCCGCACTTTTAGACCCGTATACTGTGGGTCATTCAATATCAAGCACCAAACGTTGTGGTACCACTTCAGCTTATTATGGCGAAGCATGGTAGTTGCCAAATATGCAGCGGTAAAAGCATGACAGACCAAGGTGATCATTTATGGCTCATTTGCAGTTGGTATGGAGTCATGACGAAAACCCAGATTTGGAGAAATACAGGATTTGAATTAGAACTCCTTGATTATTGTATGTTAGGTTTCGTTTTGTCCATTGAGTTCTCACAAACAACCGCATAGTAACAAGTAATATTTCTGCACTACCTGCAAATACTTTAGATTGGAATCCAACGCCCATTGGAACTGGCGTGTGAACAACATTCACATCATAGTTAATATTCCCCATCGTGACCGACGTGGTAACTGGCCCGGTGGCCTGATCGCATTGCGTTTTATTTAACGATCTATGACTAAGCAGTCTTGCTTCGAATCCCCAGTGGTGGCGGCCGGCAAATTCCAATCTGCACTTACTCAGCATTGGTGACTGCCTGCAGCGACTCCGGTCTGAACCACTCTCTCACCTAAGGACTTTCGTTACCATTTTCTCGGTTGACGGAAGGATGACTTTTACGACTACCAAGCTGTATTCCGTCTGTCATCGGCCGAGGTATGCAAACCCCGGGGTTCGACCTCGAGACCTGTCCGTTAGAAACCCAACGCTCAAACAGCTGAGCCACGGACTTACCGGGTTGTCCGTTGCGATCGGGTATAGTAACAATAGTAGAGCTGGGCAGTCGCCGACCGTGTTATGGAACTCGCTCGACCCGTAGGCCTTGGGGTCCTCTCTCTCGAGTTCCGCTATCAGTCGCACAGCGGCGCAGGATGTAGGCGTAATGGCATTACTGACAAAGAATTCAGTGCCTACTCGCAGACCGAAATTTCAAAGACGTATTATTATACAACTGTGTAATTAGTTACCATACTAAAAACACAGGTGCTAGCTAAAGCCTCAGACACGCAAGTTCCACCGATCTTGTGCCACTGTTTGACACAGCTGCGATGGATTCTGCGCATCAGTGGGTCCCCTAGCCTTCCCCGTGTGTTTTCTGATACATGATGACGGTTTGCGAATATTACGCAGTTATTACGCAGTAGCTGATGAATTTCAGCTCAAATATTCATATCGACTTTCGGACCGTGCATGTTAAGGTCTGTTCCGAAGGATTTATTCGACGTAAGCCCATTAATTTCCACGAAAAAAAGACAAGACCTAGTACTGCGTCTGTCCTCGACGGTGACAGAATGCAAGCACGCGTGAAGTTGTCCATTAGATCGTCACGCGTGGTCATTTCTAGCCTTCGATGAATCACCTCCTCCGGAAGGATAGCTGCCATACATTCCATTCAGGAATCGATGACACTTTCGGTTCTGGAGACAGGAGCAATGCGTCCTGACGGCCAGTGCAGATGAGCGTACATCTTTCTGTGATTCAATTTAATTGTCCCAGCTCTGAAAAAATGACTTCCTGGACACCGACACTGCCTACCTTGTATCGAATGTGTTCTAATGTGGCGAGGTATTTAAAGGACAGTACATGTTACCAAAATGGGTAAGGCCACTGGAAGAATGGAGGTGCCGTAAGTGTTTAGGACACGTGTTCGGCCATGCGTGGTATAGTCAACAGTCGTTTTAGCCGGGACTGAATGAGTAGGGTTCCCTTATCGGGACAGTTTTGCCACCTTAGCGACTACTGAATTCCAATACTGCTGATGAGTATGAATGTAAGTAGCAACCCTAATAGCCCGAGGTAATCCGATGCCACCGCCTTCGCCATAAGGCATGGAAGTTAGGACGGAAAGCGACCTGCGAGTGAACCGGGTTATAGTGAAGAAGATCTGCTCCGCACCGACCGCATGTCTCCCTCTCCTGTCCACCTTGTTCACGTGAAATAAAATAGTTTGCTGCTGGTTGGGCTCGAAAGAGAGAGCCTGTAAGACACAACGGGACGGATGAGTTCCGTAGAAACGACCGGTGAGTACCCCTCCACCATTGTATAGTTCCGATCTCAACTGGCAAGACAACGAGTCCGTTGCTCAGTGGTTAGAGGCGTTGGAGTTCTTGCTAACAGGTTGTGGGACCGAACCCCATGTGTTGCACGCTTCGGGGTTAAGTATGACTGACTGACGACGGCTAATAATCCAGAAATGGTCATTCCAGTCTCCCTTGTCTTTGTCAGTAATACCACTCCAGTGCATCATCATCATCCTCATCCTCATCATCATCATCATCATCATCATCATCATCATCATCATCATCATCATCATCATCATCATCATCATCATCATCATCATCATCATCATCATCATCATCATCATCATCATCATCATCATCATCATCATCATCATCATCATCATCACCATCATCATCATCACCACCATCATCATCATCGTTGTTGTCGTCGCCGTCGTCGTCGTCGTCGTCGTCGTCATCATCATCATCGACGCCGACATCATCATCATCGTCGCCATCGTCATCATCGACGCCGACATCATCATTATCTCCGGTCACGACTTTTACTACCGACGCAGAGCCACGGAGGCTCGTCCTCGTTAAGAACTCTCCAAATGTAATATATCCAGTAGACAGTCACAGGGCTGTAAACGGGTCTCGCATAAATGCCAAACCCACATTTGTACACACAAGTGCACGTAATGTACTTTCCAAAATGGGTGAACTCCGAATCCATATGTGTAACCCCTCCCCGGACGTTGTTTGTAAAGAATGGCCTGCGTGTTTCCGTGACAACTGTCAGGTTGGCTTGTAATACGTAAGCAGTACGGTTGAGCATAAGGACAGTGTGTTCTCAAAGCCGGATATCCTAGCAGCATTATGACCCCCTCTCCACCCCAAGAAACTGCCCCGAAACTGACGCCCAAGTGCTGACAGACTTCCAATCATTTGCTACTTGGTCAAATAATCTCACCCTTTATGCACCTCACACCGACTGGAACCCGGCCTACGCATACCCCTCTGAAACATCATTCAACCAGCAGTTTATGCATACTATTAGTCATTCGCTTATCACCCAACTCGCCATGTTTCCGATTAGGGTTCGTGAGGCCAGTGGATGAACTGCCGTGACCCTGTGTTCACTAAGTCGTTTGATAGCGTCGATGTAGTGAATTACGTCCGTTCATTAGGTCCGAGCAGTCATGTAGTTCTCATGTGGGAATACACCTTAACCTCGTTGCCTGACCAACCGCCTTAGTTCCGACCAAATATCCGGCGTGGTTGTTTTAAACAGTTGAAAAATCAATTTCGTCCAAATGACCGGGGATTCAGACTCTCCGGTGATGTTGATGAGGTTTTGGAATTGATTCAAAGGGATGGCCCACGACCTCCTCTCCAGTCAGTGCTTAATCATGCGGAAAAGACTAACGAACGGACCTCGTTGGTTGACTTCATCCTTTAAGAAGGAAGTTATCAAAAAGGGGAGATTGCAGAAAAGATCCCCGATTTATAGGACACTTGAATCATTAAACGCACACAAGTTGCGGAAAAGTCGGGTCAAAAGTCTCATCGACAGAACTCGAAGGATCTTCGGAAAGGATCTGTTGAACCGTACCATGGTTGATGACAAAGTTCTTTAAATTTATACAATTCGGAGCACGCGGAATAAGAGTGCTATCTTAGTGTTTTGAAGATGCGAAAATATCAGACGCCAGAGGCACGGCTGGGCATCTCCCTGAGTTTTTCCGATCCACTTCGAAAAAAAAGCCCAACTATTTCCCACCAACTTATGACGATGAGGAAATAGCTACCATCGGAATAGTCATCTCCACGGAAGAAATCTTTCAGGAGAAGTTGCTGAACTTAGATAGTCCGCCTTACTCAGACCCCAAAGAAATCGAAGCGTTTGAAGGAGCTAGCTTCTGAAATGGCGAAGCCGTTAGCCTTTCCCTTCCAGGCGTGCCTACGCTTCGACTAGAAGTCAGCAACCATCACTCCGTTACTTAAGAATCGAAGTCGAGCATCTGCGAATGCCTACAAACTGGCGAGTATTACCTTCATATGTTGCAAAATTGTGGAGGAAATAATTAAAAAGTCGCTGATTAGGTTTCTCGAACCGAGAAAACTTTCGTAATGGCAGGTTCTGTCTTATAAATCTGCACTTTAACCTTGAACACTGGACCGGTGCACGCGATGAAAACAATATGATACGCGTCATCGACTTGAAAAATATCTTCGACAGTGTTTGCCACCGACACCTTCGCGCAGTCGCAACGTAGGGGTTCGAAGAAGCCTGTTTGCATGGATAGATAAATTTCTGACTGGACGGTCCCAAAGAATGCAGGTCGAGCGCCAGCAGCCCCCAGAGACAGCCGTGGTGAGCAGAGTCTTACAGGACACAGTTGTAGGTCCCATGTTATTCTTTGTTTTCACCAATGACTGCGTCAGGGACCTGGACTATGATATCGTCATGTAGCTGACAAAGACCATCCATAAACAAACTTGATCCGGATGACCGACTGACCGACGTGCTGGATTATTCCCTCCAATATAAGTAAGTGCAACTTCCTTCGAATCGGGAACTACAGAGTCTCCAGCTCGCTGATAGTCAGAAATACGTGGATGTGTGGATTATATTTTCACTCAGCGAATGAGGTCACTTCGTGCGTGTCCATATTATAACTGCTCAGACTGGTCTAGACGAGGTTTGACAAATAAAACTTCTTTAAAATATTTGGGACATTCTTGCAGCTGCATCTAATATACGTTATACAGGCCATGGAGACCTTGAATCGTCAAGGCCTGTATCGTCTTAGAGAAGGTCTAAGTTCGGGAGGAAAAAATAGTCCAAGGCCTAGAGTCTGTCCCATGATAGCAGACGGTTGACTCTAATCCTCTTCCCCATTTACCAAGGCGATATCACTTTAACTTTCCGCATTATGCGTGGCCTGGACTGTTTTTCTTTCCCCAACGATTTTTCGTTCAGGAAAGCACACCCACCTTGCGCGGCAATCCACAAAAAGTACGCACAGGTGGGGGGCTATTGTCGACGTACGCAAGTCTTTCTCCGGCAAAAGAGTGGATGCGGTGTGGAATGCTCTGTCTGCCGATGTTAGTATCACTTCATGTATGGATTCATCTCAAGGCAATCACCATGGGCATAAATACCACTAACCAGCCACACTCCGGCATAGCATCGTCAACGTAGTATTTGGCAACACATGATTATTCTACTCGTAGTTTTTAAGTAGACAGTTATGTTAACATTTACGCCAGGCATACAACTTATTTCCGTTCGCATGCAATTATGTAAACAATCTCTTCTTCAACGTACTTTGTGTCCGCATTTTTCGTTAACATTTTTTTATCTAGTAGGGAGTTCAAAGGCATTCACCTGCCTAAACATGGCCATACTCGATGTGGCTAGCTGGCCACAAGCTGAATGGAGATGTAGAAAATTTGCCCTTAACGGGTATTACATGACACTTGTAAAGGATAAAGAAAACTTATAAGAAGTATTTCTTGGCGGAGTTTAAGACAATTGCCGCCTAGGCGAGGGCTTAGAGGCTGTGCGAAAACCCAGAAGTAGCAATTAGCAAAAACTCTGGCCAGAGAGGGGCTCGAACCCTCGACATTCGCGTTATTAGCACGACGCTCTAACCGACTGAGCTATCCGGCCACGATCACTGGCTCTTAAAATATAATTAAATCAGCAGCGTTTGCTTGGACATCATACGTCAGAGGATCAAAGATCTGGCTGTAGTAAAGCCAGCCCATTTCTGTCGTGGATTCGACTCTCACCTACGTCGCCGAGCTTTTCATAGTTTTTGCAGGTCGCAGTTAATTAATCGTCGTGAAAATTTTTGGTACCAGCAAATTCTGCTGCGTATGCCACTAGTGTACAGCACAACACCACAAATGATCAAAAATGGTTTACGGGGCATACCCAATTCTATCAGTACCAATAAGTTTGTCCAAAAGACCGAGAGTGCTATTTGTGGGCCGTCAAATTCGCATTTAGTGCCTACGTGAAATTTCAGACCAGATCAGGAGTTGACAGTTGTACCTAGAGAAAACAAAAGGTTAAAGGATGGATTATTGATAGGTATGGTTGTCTTATAAGACAACCAATTTAGTCTTATTATTGTCTTGACATATTTCCTTGACTTGGAACCGAGGCCAATCCCATCAAGCCAGCCACCAGGCCCACCCATGTGAATGCGACAAATGACAAATTAATCCAGATTTATACTATTTATTTTTTGAATGTATGCAAAATCAGTAAAATGTCGGCAACATTTTACTTTGGTGGACGCACAGTTTATGAAAGGATACATCCAAGGGGTTTGTCAGAGGACAGGGGAGACGGCAGGGCTATAACGTGCGTACGTAATAAATGCATACTATTCCGGTAGAAGCGAACAGGCGAGTTCCAGGAAGCAGTTCAGAAGAGGAAGAAGATGCCATCACTGGAACAGGAAGTTTACTGGCCTGACGTTTCGGATCCTCACTCGAACCCCCCATCACTTGAGACAGCCCACCTCTGTTAAGATATGAGATGTTTAAATGAGTTCTATCTCACGAGTCGGAGGTTTTACGGTTCAAGGGATTTCTCAATTTTTAGAACACACTCCGCTAGTGTTGTCGGGGAGGCTTTTGGGTGGCGACTCAAGTGACGACTGCATTGCGAGAGTTGTGTGCCGAAATCCCTGGGGAAAACGGATCCGACAACTTGTTTTCCTTGGAAGCAAATCATGCCGGGGAACACGAACCGCCTTATGGATTTAAATAGTCCAAACGATCTTGACAAGGTATGAGCCAATGATTCAAGTGACTCATCGATCACTATAAACTAGCTCACGCACAAGTCACCGTCCCTGCTCGCACTCTACTGTGGACCACATGGTGGACATCACCGAAGTCGACGGTCTCTGAATTGCTTCCAATCTCAAACAAGAGGTCCTACTGTCGTTACACAGTAGTGAGAATAAGTGCTCTTGTCTGTGCGCTACCATCGTCGGGCCAAATCCCAGATTCGAAGGAGAAGACAGACGGAACCAGAATGAGGGTTTTATTGTGCACAGAACTCGTAGTTGTCCGCTCAGGCGGCAGTGGCCACTGGTGAAGCCAGGGCTGGTGTTGACTGCGTCTAGTCAGGCCTGAGAGTCCTTGATGCAGTGGTGGCAGCCACTTTTGTAGGCTCGTGGGCCAAGCTCAAGTGGTGTCCAGTCCGCGTGTGTTGCATTTGCCGAGGGGTGATGTCCCAGTGGCTTGTTTTGCTGGTTGCAGGGGGTGGCGCGTTCAAGTGGCCGCATGGGCAGCTGCGACTGCGCGGACGCAGGTATGCTCGAGCTGTTGGTCGTGTGACTTCAGGTCAGTAATTACATACATCAAGCATTGGTCACTGGTATGACTTTGTCTGTGAATGTCTTCTATGTCAAAATTTTACAATATCCAGTACGGTACTGAATGGACCAAATAATATCGAAGAAAGCGCATATGTGGCGGTCAGGAGATAGCAAACATTGTAAAATGTAATGTTACTGAAATATAGGGAGTAGCATGCTTTGTAACATAAAACGCTGGGTGGGACGGTTGGTACAGGGGGGAAATTTGTTAGTTTCCGATGCTGTGGAGGTACATATCCCTGTACTGGTCAAGCTTTCTCTTAAATGAATCCACGGATGAGGACATGACGACATCCACAGGCAGGGCGTTCCATGCCTTTACCACTCTGTGGCTGAAGAAGGAGCTCCTTGCGTCCAGTCTCGCTCCTGTCACACGTAATTTCAGAGGGTGTCCTCTCCAGCTAGTAGTGGTGGCCAGCTCAAAGAAGTCGCCGGATACGAGACAGCAGTCCTGACCCCGTAACATTCTAAACGTTTGAATTAAGTCGCCACGGAGTTGTCTGTAGTCCAGGGGAAAGAGAAACAAATCGGCAACCGTATTCATAGCCTACTTCTCTCCCCCTCTAAATAAAGAAGTTCAGCAACGTGAAGAGCAAGTCTAAGAAGACCTTCATAGCCGTTTGAACGTCGTGCCCGGTGATGTCCATCGCGTGCTCCATAGCAATCTGAAATCGGCACGGTGACTTGCGTGTGAGTTAAAGTGAGAGCAGACTTGCGCAGCATCTACTGCACCCCCTCTCCCACACTTGGACCCGGTGTCATGACCAAGTCAAGAAAACAGAAGATGGGAGAGAAGACAGTGGTCATGCATCAACCGGTACTGCCTTCTAACTGCAACGATCTCTTCATCAGTGTCAGTGGAACACAAATAACACCAGGAGGGAGATTCGAGTACTTTGGAAGCACAGGCTCAGGAAACACTAAGATGGACAATGAAATCGCAGGTAGGATGTCGCAAAACTAATGCGCAGCGCGCCGAAGCAGGCACCCAAACTCTGTTCTACTCCCCACGGACACTCCAAGCACGGGTTGGTCTGATCGGATATCTCAAGACACAGAGCAATGGGAGCACGGTCAAAATCTAGAATATGGCAGGCCTCATCTAGAGCACGACATACAAGCGTGGCGGCCACGGTTAGAAAAGGACAAAACATACTCCAGAAAGTCTAACGCCGTGCAACGAAGTTGGTAAATGTTTTAAAGAACCGATCCCTCATAGAAATATTGAACTGCCTTAATATATTCCCTGTGTTACGGGCAGCAAAGAGGCAATCGGCTATTCTGGCTTACAAAATAGTGCATGGCCTTAAGCATTGACCAATCCTTGAGGACATGTTTCGGTGGCACCTTCGGCGAAATCATCGTGGACACCCGGCGAAGCTAGAAACAAAACCGTCCGGGCTGAGCCTGTGCGATGAATTTCCTCAGCAGTGTAGAAGAGAGATGGAATGATATCCCGTAATCAGTCATGGAGGCGAAGTTACCATAGCTCTGAAGGGGACGCTTGGATGACTGTGTCCCCTATGCTGCCTCGACAGCGTGGGCGTAAGCTCAATACCCAGAGAACCAGCTTACTTAAAAACAATACTACTTAAGTCGCGTGAGTACGGTTTTAATAGCGACGGTACCATCGCACCTGTGCAGCTTCACCTAACGGACTGGAGTGTAAACAATAGGATTTGCAGATGCATCGCCTATCATCCCCACTAAATACACTGGAAATAAACCAAACCTACCACTCGACTTACACAATGCCACTACCGCCGCCACTATCAGGCTGGACACTCCTGCCACCCACCACCACATTTACCAGAAATGCGGACTCAGTCCCGACCTGTCCTGGCATCTTACACCGGCGTGATCAGTAACTCGTGAATACATCGCACTGCGGCCGAAGAACCAGTGCCAGGAGCCCCAACATAGACCCGCCACTTCCGTCTCATCTGCCAACACGGTCCCAGGGGGTATTTGGTCATCAAATCTGTCTAGTCGACCATAAGAACATCCATAAAAGTCCCCTGTAAAACAACACAGCCCAGACCCCATAAATCAACTGCGCCCTACCTTAGGTTGCACGCAAATCTACTCCACAACGCGCACGCACGACACCTCCCCGCAACAAACCATCACTGTAGCAAGCATGTGATACGCTTTGCCAGCGACGGTATGGCAGGCGAGACGGCGCATGTCAGATTATACACATCTCATGTCCTATGGTGCATGATACATGAAGCAGCGACCAGATTGTGTGTGTGGCCGGCCCCTACCTACTCCTGAGCTTGAATTTGTCCAACCACCGGAATATGATGGTTGGGTGCGGTAGATGCCACAAGTCACTGCAGATCAGCAGTGGACGTCGTCGTTGTCGACTAACTACCAGAATGGCATTGCCGACAAAGACAAGGGAGACTGAAATGGCCATTTCTAGCTTATTGGCAGTCGTCAGCCAGTCATACCCCAACCCCAAAGTGTGAAACACCCGAGGCTCGAACTCGCGACCTGTTAGTTAGAAGTCCACGCCTCTAACCACTGGGCCACGAGCCCGTTGCCCTGTGGGTTGTGCTGAGCTGTCTGTTTGAGTTCTGGCCAACCAGTGAACATGCGTAAGGCACAGGTCAGGCTGCGGCCCGCGTCACGTCAACCACCGTGCCAACTGATGGAGACTATCGATTGGCGCACGAGCTGAGAAGAGATGGGTTAAGCTATGCGGAATGCAATGCAACCCACACCGCCCTCAGCATACTGAATCTGACACGCTAAAATTCGCGGTTTGAAGGGC